GTCGTATTTAAACTAGCTTTTATCCTTAAAAAGTCGTTACGTTTCGAAAGTGAATTATTGTCAATTTATTATCGGTTGCCAGGCTTATGCATGTTTGCGATGGCTTAGGGGTTCATTTGCAATTTGGTCCTGTACCGGTTGTAAGTGTGCTCCTATGCTGATAGTAAACATGCTTTTTTTTCTTTTTTTCCGTCTTGTTTGTTTTATTATGCTTATACTCAATTTTATTGTTAATTAATATAAGTTTTGCATTAAGAGCCAATTGAACTCGACTGTTACTTGTTTAGTTGAGTTTCTAGTATAAGTGGAATAAATAAAATAAAATAAACGTGGTGAGCATTAAAATAACCACATATTAATGCAGATGTGTCGCATCAGAAAGAAAATAACCTGTTATTTGCAGAATCAAGATTTGCAATTAGGTGGAAGATAACAACTAATGATGAAGAGTTTCCAAAGGAAATCTGAATGATGCAGCTGCAAGCTTCGACAAGTGCACAAATTCGAAGTGTAAGAGAATGTAAGCGTGCCAGATTAACAGTTTAAAATCTTTACGCACTTCTTTGCTTCTTTTTTTTTGCTTTTTTATTTCACATAGGTATATTAACGTAAACGGTACGAAAGTCTTACGTGAATTAAACAAAAAATTTTTTTAACTATCAGCTAGGTAGCGACCGAACGGTAACTAAAATATAGACGACTACTACTCTGCAGACTTGTGGTGTTGTTGTTGCTTTCTACATAGAATAACAGATGAAAAATTCAATAGAAATAATGTACAATTCATATAGAGTTAGAATTTCTAATTTAATAAATAAATGAATGTAATGTAAAGAAAGTTCTGACTTACTTATGAAAGAAAGATTCAATGTACTAAATGAGTAAAAAAAGTATGTTTTTTGTTTTTCTCAACTAAATATTTACTTAGTAAAATAACTTTTTCTCTTCTTCTTGTGAAAACAGTTTTTGTTTACTCACGAACAAAATTGTCCTTATCAGTGAACCAAAAGTTTGCATCATTCATGCAGTTATACAATATGTCCATTCTTATATAGAATTGAATTTGCCTTTGAATTCTGTGCTGAATGTGACCACTATAGACTCTCCAGAATATCATCTGTATTTTGTTGTTGTTGTCTCGTTTATTAGATCCAGCATTTTTTCGAATATGCTATAGTTAGAGACAAAAATAAAAGTTCATTGGGATTATACGTTGCTAAAATCTTTGTAAATGCGTGCTTTTGCGAGAATTGTAATTCCTTATTGCTTGTTAAAATTTGTATTAGTTTATTCTTAGTTGAGTTTGGAAGCTGCTGACCCAACGCTTTGAATTCAATGTTTGTGCTTATGTAAGCATATTTTAAGTGCAAGACCTATCGATAAGTTTATCAATGAATTGACGAACTCGTTATAACTGTTTTCCATCCCTAGATAGCACACAACAAAACAAACTCATTACGTCCATTTGTGTATATATTTTTGTTTAAATGTAAGAAAAAAAAGGAATAATCATTAAAAAATTAGAAATAAGTAACAAAATATGGATTAACATGAATAAATTAAAAATAAAAAGAAAACACATTCTTCAAAAATTAGAAAACTGCGAATTGAAGCTTCGCCATAAAAATTATTCGTATATCGGAAAAAATTCGTCGTCAGACTGTTTTTCATAAATAAGAAATCAAGTGCATAGTAAAAACTGAAAAACATTCCTTTACAAAGAAAATGAGAAGATAACTTCTTATGTATTAGTCAGATGAACGCAAGCATCTAGTTAACAACTGTAAAATGCTAATAATATAATCACGAATGTTCTTATAGCCATTGTAATGTAAAATTGCATGATACGCACATTCACATATGCGTATATAAATATTGGCTCAGATACTCATATATGCAAATAAATAAGTAAATAAATTATATATATATAAAATGCCTTTGCAATTGAGAAAAATTTCAACTTGGCCACTGTCAATGCTTAATTTTTCTTCGCCTGGTTGCAAAAATGAGCAACTACATTGTGGGTGTCTTCTGAAGCATCTTTTTTTCTAACATAGGATATGCCTTTTGATAGGATACGGTAATAAAAAAGGAAAACTGTAACAAAATGTGTAATCAGATTTAGTTTTTGTGAAAAAACAAATGAGCAATCTGGAGAAACAGCCTCATATATTACAATGTGTACTGTAGAGTTTCTTATATGTACACGCATGTATATGTTTCACGAGAAACATATGTAGTTAAGTTTAGATTTCTTTAAGAAATCTATGTGACCGACAGTAACGTTTAAATTTATGTCAATAGTGATTTTAAAGTACAAGTTTTAAATAACATTGCAAGTGGTCAGTTCTTTTTGCTTTTGCACTTCTCTCTTCTAACTTATGAACGTAAAACTTGTTAGGTAATTGGAACCCTTCTTTAATTTCATTTGCAAAAAAAGTTTGTTGCAATTTAGCGGCTAGTATTTCATGAAATTCATTTATTCCATATCCTTATTAGTTTTAGATCTCTTTGCGTATCGCCCGTTTTCGCTTCTTTAGTCCATCTCCTGCTTGAATTTATAGATAATATTGTATAAATCACAATGCAATGTTCATTTGTTATAATTATGAAACGCTGCATCTATCGTATATGTGATTATGTTAAGGCAGCATTAAGAAAAATCGAAACTAATCTCAAAATATTTCTTTTTCTTTGACCCGAGATTCTTTATATAAATGATCAGTTGGTCGCAGATTCGTTAAGTAGTTTCAGAAACAGATTTTGAATGCCTTGTGAAAATGTGACGAGGAAAAGATTTGCATGTCAATCGTAGTTCAATATAGCGTTACAGATGTGTCCGCTTTGTTTCAGAGACGATCTATAAATCGATCATTTTGGGCTTATGTTCCATTATTTTCTGTGATGCGGAACTCATGCAAGATATCTCCTTTGAGAGCTGAGTAAGAAATGTAATAAACCCAGGAACGCATCAAACAATGAACTGAATATGATTTACTTTCCAATGGAAGATTATAATTATAAACATTTTTAAAGAGAATGCAGTAAAAAAGTTATAAAGAGTTACTGTATTTGACATAAATTGGGTTATTTGGCTACCTACTTCCAATTGTTGGTTTCAATGAAAAAGAAGATTATGTAGAAGGTTCATTATATTGCAGATTTTTACAAATCATTTATATGATGCTACCTGTTACTGTTCTGCGTAGGAGTTAGATGTGTTTTTCAGGACAAAATTGATCAATTCTGAAATTTATTTAAAAATCTCTACAAATCTTTTCATAGGAATATTTTTAGGTTTTTTCAATTTAAATCATTTGAAGAGACGCTCGAATCGTAATCATATTTAGCAACACTCCGGACTATCGGCAACTGTTCTAATACTCTTTATCAATTTGTATACACGCTCTCTTATGAGTTTCCTCTCAGTGACAGACAACCTGGCAAAAACAGACCGCAATCGACCATTAATACTACCTCTAGTTAATTCGATTCACAAGTGCCTTTAGTGACGCATACGTACGGACTAATAAAATGCTCGTCGCAAATTTTAAAAGTGCAAAAACTGCAAGAACGCATCGATATAAAGCGAAAATTTAACATGAAATAATAGTTTTCGATAAACACACTAACCGTCATATACGCAAATCAATAAAGCGAAAGGAAAACCTTATATTTCAGCAATAATAAAAAACAAACAAAAATTATGGCAAATAAAGAAAAAAAAATTGCAATGGAAATAGAAAACTAAATAGAATTTAATGCGAACACATTGAAATGCGTTGGCTTTACTGGCGTGTAAATATATCTATGCAAATATTTGTGGCTTTGTGTGTGCGGTTATGTGTTGCCCTTGGACATCATAATTAAAGCACTTAAAAACATTAAATAAATAAAAAATCCACTGTATCGATCAATGGAATTTATTTTGAATTTATAACACATTGCGAACGAAGCAGGCTAGTATTTGTTTTCTTTCCTGGCATAGTTTGGGCTGAAATAAACCAAATAAAACGTATTTGATACACGCCGCTTTACTATAATAGGAAAAAAAAATTTTGCATGTGCGTTAAAGAAAATATATATATTTATATATATATATATATATACATTTTTTTTTTCTTCTTGATATTGAACCGATGAGTTAGTGATAACCAAGATTATAAACAAAGGTATTTTCTTTTTTTGTCAATTTTTAGAATTTTAACTCGTTTTCTTTTCTCCTGTCTTCCAAAGCCATATGTGTATACAGGTTTAGGATTTCCAATTAATTGTTACAATATGTTTCAGCGTTTGGTGTAATGTATGGTTATAAAGATAATTGATACTGCTACATAGGGGCGAAAGAGAGAAAAAGAAAGAGAGAGACACAGCTAATAAAAAGCTGATATCTGAAGGAAGATATCTGAAATTAATAGAACAGTAAAATTAAAATTTAATTGGTATCGCGCAATAAGCACACCAATCGCAATTGCAACATGCGACAATGTTGCTAAAAGTTATACTGCTTCACCGTTAACATATGAAATTGTTTCATGCCAGGTAAAAAACAACCACTGCTATTCCTAATAAAACGATATGCTATCCTATTTAACCGGAGAGTTTGAACCCGCTGGAGCTAAAAAATACTTGACTGCAAAAATTTCATTAATAAATGAAAAATATATAAAAATTTTTTGAGAATCTGATCTGAAACGAAGAACGAAGGGGAGTGAAAAGAAGAAAGTGTGATAGAAAAATAGAAAGTCGCAGAGAGATAATATAACGCAGAAGACGCGCAACCTCCTCAAAAGGACTTGGAAAATTGGTACCAATTAAGAGTTTAGTCGTTTTAAACCTTACCAACATGACTTCATATGCTACCGTGCAAGATAATGGTAATGCCACTAACACAACCTTGACTTCGCCGTTATCTTCATCTACGCTGGAAACGGCCGCGACACAAACCGATTTAACTAGCAATAATTGCATAAAGAAAATTGATCAACCTTGCAGTCCCTGCTGTGATGTGGACTCGTTTTCAGAGAGCGAACGCGAGAAAATGGATTCAACACCTGAAAATATTAAAAAAATCGATGACGTTATTAATGAAACAGTCAGTCTCCAGCCTATTAATAAATTGTCTGCATTGTCACATCGAGCCGAGCAGATTGCCGTTGGTAACTCAATTACAAAATTTTGTCTGGCCAAACCATTATCGCAGTCACAGTCCATCGATTTAAGAGGTAATGAATTATAAGTTATTTGATCGTAGAATACTGAAAATTTAAATTTTTATTCCCAAATGCGTTTGTTGTTTGCTCGTTTCGTTTGTCTGTTCTGTTTTCTAATATAATAAGTTATTGCGAGTCCTAGAAATAAACAACGGAATATTTCGTACGTATCGAGTATATCATGCATGTTTCAAATTCTATTTTCGTACATCGTTCCCCTACGGCAGAGGCGTTGATTTGAGGTTTTTTAAGACCTCTTATTGGTAAAACAATGTGATGCAACCATTGAGTACATTTCATAGCCGAAATTTATATAAAACCTGTATCTTTGGTTTAAACACTTAAGCTTCGTTAAAACTCAACAATCAGACATTTTACAACGTTCCGCTCTTTTACCCAAAACAACGTTGAAAATTGTCAAACCGATACGTAAATCAGGGAGACTTTATTTTACAGCCGTGAACGTTATTATGTATACTACAAACTTTTTACACAGAAAACAAGAACCCCGTTTGTTCGCTTCTCGTTACTCTCAAATCCTGTAACTATTTGAGTGTTCGAAAATTTCATTGTCTATAATTTGAAAACTATTACAAGGAAATTGGTGGAAAAGCTAATCGTTAGCGAAAAACAAAAAAAACGACTAAGCTTTACATATATCTGGGCATTATTTTGTGGAACCAATACAGTATACTTCTTTTCCGGCAAAGTGATGCGATTAAGTCGGTATTCGGGAAGTGTTAATCCTAAGAAATTGAAAATTCGTAAATTTAGCTTTATTTGCCTATTGCCTAGGCTCCACTACTTATTATGCACGTCTTCTGCTCACTACGTTTTTTTTCTTGTCTTTACTCACAAGCAAACACGCGTAACGTTTAACACTACTTACGTATTTCTTCTATTATTATTTCGCACTGTACCTTTTCTTGAATGTTTATGTATTGAATTATTGTTGGTTTATTCTGTTACTCAAGATGGTTTATTTCATGAGTACATAAGTCTGTATATATAGTCAGTTAAGTATTGTATAGATATGAAAAAGAAAAGTCTCAATTACTAATACCGTCACATTTTACCTTTAATATTTTTTTAAAATATTTATTTACTTTTGATATAAAAACTGTATTTCCTCTCAGTTAGGCTTCCATGTATCTGTATGCTTTATGTTCACATTTATTGTTTTGTCATATTTTGAAATGCTTGCATGTTTTTTATGTAAATTTGCACGCACTTAATTTTGTGTTGGATACGCGGATGCATTAAGTTTTTCTATCTTGCACCATTTGTGGTACAGGATTGTGTGGACGTATTTAATACGCAGAAGCACACAAGACAGACTTACCTTTTATTACACCGATCGATGCAGATGCATTTTCTAAATCGGTCTAAACCTGTCTATCCGTCTGTCTGTTTGATGTCTGTTCATGTAAATTTGTGTTCAATTTTTGAGCTATTTTGATGAAATTTGCTACATTGACGTGTTTAGCCAAAATGACGACTGCTATTGAAAATGGAGTTAGTTCACTTTCACTCCCCACAGAACACATTATTTTGAAATATCAACAAAAATGGCTAAGTCTTTAAGTATTCTCAATTGGTGTGAAAACTTTGGACCGGCTGGGGTAATTTTTTGTATCCCCTTTCATATAACGAAAACTGAATTTCATATGGCAAAAAGGTCTAATTTTAGATGTATCACGCTAAAAATCACATTATAATAGTGATTTAAAATAAAAAAATTAGTTATGCCAAATTTGGACCATCTCGGTCTATATTTGGACTCCTGCCCTACATAAGTATTTTCAGGAAAATTAGTCCTTTATAGGGCAGAGAAGTTTTAATATGTTATGATGAAAATCGATCTATAAAAGTAATTTGATATAAAAATTAACTGTGCTCAATTTTAAACACGTACTTCAATTTTCGGATCTCTTTGCCACAATCATTCTTATGGAAAATAAGCCTTTATTTGAAAATATTATATTGTATATTTAATATAAAGTTCCATAACAGTAAGTTCATATAAAAGCAAGGTATAGTTTTTGTGTTCTAGGGCAAAAATAAAAATTGTGTTAAACAGTGTGGCGCAGGGTATTTAATAGTTGGCCTAGCCCGACGGTGATGTTTTCACTTGTTTTCTGTTACGATCATTATGCCAGATAAAAAAAATGATCTGTCATTCCTCTTATTCTCATTCTTATACTATAGCAAAACCTGAGCCTTATTTGCCTGGTTGAGATTACTTCTAAGGATGTTAAGAGTCAGGTTTTTCTAAAGATATCTTTATTTTTATTATTGTTAGCATAACTTTTTTAATAAAATTAATTTTTGGACTAAAACAAACGAAAAGGGAGCACTAACAACATAGGATCTCAATTCTATTTTAACAAGTAAATTTAGATATCGAGTCTAGTAGCTTTAATAAAATCATACATAAAATTTTGATATTGCGTTCTGCAGCTCATTTCAGGATGTCCATTGGACGCGAATTCGATTTTTCTAATAAAGGAAACATTTAGGCATTCACAGAAACGCTGCTTCATTGTAAGAATTTCCGCACAATTGTTAATTCGAAAAGATCTCTGAAGGGCCCACTGGTGCGTCCCAATTGTGTGGACAAGGCGAGTTCTCGCAAATATTGCGATCTTGATTTTGTCAATATTAGTTGGATATAAGGGAAGCATTACGTAAGGATTAACAGAAGAGTGGTGTTGATGATAGTATTATCGATTTGTTTCTATAATTTTCTCTTGGACTTTCTCTCCAATATAACTTCGGAGGATCAACTTTTCCACAACATTGTCCATAAACAGAGGTGCAGAAGCAGCAAACTTGACCGCTTGCTCAGTTTCCAATGAGTCGATATGAGTAATCCGAAACGTTTTAATCGTTTCACCGCATGTTACGATGGTACTTCTTAATCTGTTATTGTAAACAAAGTTGATACCTTGAGGGATAGTTCTTGGCTGGTTGTGAAAGTTGAAGCACTTTCGTGAAGTATGCGATTAAGCAGAATTTGTTGTACAGCATCTGTCACGGCACAAACGGGTGGGAGAATGTCAGATTTAGAACCGTCCTCATAAAGAAAATGTAAACCGTTATATCTAGTATTAAAATTTTTTTTAAATTAGATTCCTGAAGACGCGGTTTGGACTGTGATCTTTTCTGTACAAAGAGAGCGATATGGCACAAGAGTAGCCTTTCAAAAACCCACGAAGGTTTAAAATCTAAATTCGGGCAAATTTTTAGGGGAATATTTAATTCCTCTGTGACATATACATAGAAGTCAATTGCAGATAGCGGGCTTTTAGTTTCTCACATCATCAGTTAAGAACATTAGAGATGATTTCCGTTTCTTGTCCTTCATTATTTTTAAACGGAATTATTACTCTTATTTACAACTGCATAAAATACGTTGACTTACATGTTGACGAAAGATTAACATAAGAAAATGAACATGAGAAAGCTAAATGCCAGCAACTTGACTTAAAAACCAGAAAACACTATTGGCTAATTCGTCCAGAATCTCAACTTGATCTAAGAAATAAACGCATTTTATACAAGAGTATCTTATAACTTATTTGGATCTACGACATACAACGTTGGGTAATAATCAGTAACTCTAACATGCCCCGTGGTTTGTTTGCAACAAACCTATTCATGATGACCTGGATTTCGCATTCACCAAGAATCGAATTCAACGCATTTCTTCAAAGTGACTGGGTAATCCCGTAAATCCCTTGGCAATATCTCTTCTGCATGATTACAACGACATAAGAATGTTGAAAACACATTATTTATTGGATCTTCTAGTATTTTAATGAGGATTTTAAGTTTATATAGGTTCTTTTTATTTATTTAAACATTATATATATTGTTATATTCTCGCCTCTAGAGACAATAATCCGTGTTATTTTCTCAGCCTCATATGAAATTTACTTACTTTCCTTTTTATGCGGATTTAAAGTTATATATGAAATTAGGTACTACAAGTAGTAGAACTAATACTACTAACAACTTATTAAAATTTAAGTTTTTAATATTCTAAAACTTTGTGAAAAGGAGGAAGTTCACTTCCTTGATTCCGCTATAATTGTAAATTTTTGTTGAAGTCTGTTCAGTGTTTACAGATACTTCTGTGCAATATTCAAAATTTAGACAACAGGACGACGAATAGGCCCGCGACAAGTGCTAAATTGGTTTAGAAACTTATAGTGAAAATTATTTTGTGGAGATTCCAATGACATTTTAAAAATCTTACTCTTCTTAAAAAAAAGACAATTTATGTCGATTCAGAAGAAAGCAAAGTTTGATTTTCGGTTTGTTTTATGTAAAAGATAATTTTCAAAATGATCTGCTTCAGACTTCGCACATAACACGAATTATATTTTTTTAAATAAACTTTATATGCAGTTGCAAACTGTATTCTTCTGTTCAAGGTCAATGTTTGAAGTTTCACGAGCAGAGCGTTTTAAATATAGACAGCCGTCTACGCATAAAAAGCGCTTGCCTCAAAGTGGGAAGTAATGCAAATAAAGCTTCATAAAAAAGAGAAAAAGATTATTCTTATTTTCAAATGTAAATTAAACTACATTAGAGCAATTTTAAAATGTTTGAGCAATTGAGATAAGATAGCTCATATAGCAAAATTAATTCTAAAGGCGTAAAAGTTCTTTGGACATAGGAATAGCATAAAATCCCCGTCCTAAATTAACTCACATAAAAATTACATTTAATAATCACAAACAGGTATATATATATACGTATATATATAAATTGCTGTCTACATATATAGTTTGACCAAAAGAATTGCATTCTTTAGCATGATAGGAAAAATAAATGTTATTAAAAAATGAATAAAGCTTTCATCATTAGGTGAATTATTTCCAATTTGTCCATATTCGAGTTTTGATCGTATGGTAACCAATGGTTCCCACCGTATGTTCGCGTTTATCCTGCTTGTCATGTGACACATTTCAACTTATTCTGTTTTATTACGCTAGTCGCATGCAATAAGCAGCAGCATTGCTCGCTCTTAAGACATAACATATCGAACGTGTTCTTACAAGTCTCATATAACACACCCGAAATGCAACATGTAATTTAAAAAAAACAAGGAAACCGAGTAGACGATATAGCTTAACTAATTCACAGCCATTCGCAAGTGAATCCAAGGAGGTCTTGCAAAGAAGAAATGAAACTTTTATCCTCGTAAAGAATATGATTATGGCGCAAACGGCAAATGAAATAGAAACACATTTTTTTAAAAAAAGTTTGATAACACATTAGTCTTTAACTTGAGTATTTTGAATGTGTTCTTAAAAGCGTAAGTGTTTGGAATGCCAACAAAGCGTGTGAAGATAAATTTGAATTTAACTAGCAAAGACAACTACCGTTTCTGTTAAAAAAACGCTGTTAACGATTTAACAGAGCTCGGTTAAATAATTACAATTGAGATGTACTTGGATTTGAAACTCTACTGCGTCCATATTAAAAAAGGGAAGATTTTTTGTGGACATTTGATGAATCTATATGAACATACCTTTTAAACAAACTAAAAAAATTTAAATTCTTCCTATGGGAGCTATTTTTAACGGTGTGTTGAAATTTAGTATGTTAGTGAAAAATGGATATGGGATAACGGGTAAATTTGGGATTCTAGTACGGCCAAACTAGGAAATGTCACCTATATTCACCTATATCAAGGAGTAGGCTTTCAAATCGAACTATATTTGCTAGTTAAATTCGAATTTATCTTCACACCTTTATGCCTACAAATTCTCAATTTTTTCTAATGTGTCTATACTCTACCTAAGTAGTGCCATCTAAAGACGTCTTTTCAATATTTTTACAAAATTCCTCGTTAGCGAAAGAGAAAGAATACGTCTATAGCTTTTCTGATATAGTATTCAAATGTTGAGGTCTTATATACGCATGATTTATTTATTTATTTATTTAAATAATTCTACTTATACATGAAACTCAACTAAACAAATAACAGTCGAGTTCAATTGGCTCTTAATGCAAAACTTATATTAATTAATAATAAAACTTAGTATAAGTACAATAAAACAAGTAAGAAGGAAAAAAAAACGAAAAAGAAAAAAAGCATGTGCACAATCAGCATACAGCCACACTTACAAACCGTACAGGACCAAATTGCAAATGAACCCCTAAGCCATTGCAAACATGCACAAGTCTGGCAACCGATAATAATTAACAATAATTCATTTTCGTAACGATTTTTTAAGGATAAAAGATAGTTTAATTATGACATAGGTAATTTTGCGCGTATTAAGCAATGTTGCTTTAATGGACTTTAAAGAGTCCGTTAATGAGAATAAGTGATACACGTTATTTAGGGTCTTGCAAACGACTCTGAGCGGATTGAACAGCTCATAATTAAATTTACACTGACTAAGGTTAACCAAGATAAAGTGCCTAGAGACGCGGTTAGGGACATTAAAGCTTATTTCACCAAGTAATGAAGGCGAGTCAATAGCACCATTTATTACTTTGATTACAAGGGAAACGCCAAGAACAAACCTACGTTTCTCAAGAGACGGTAGGGACAGCAGAAGCAACCTATTTTCATATGGAGGAAGAGAGGCAATCGGATCCCAACCCAAATTTCTAAGGGCAAACAGCAAGAATTGCTTTTGAACAGATTCAATTGAATCTACATAGCACCTATATGAAGGAGACCACACAACAGAGGCATACTCGTGTATGGGTCTAACCAAGCACATGAACAGCCTTTTCGTAATGTAGGGATCATCAAACTCTTTGGACCGCCTTTTTATAAAACCAAGCGCGGAACTAGCTTTGCTTATCGAGAGCTCAATATGCGAGTTAAAACGTAACCTATGGTCAAATAGAACGCCTAAATCTGTGATCGAATCGACGTCCTCCAACTTATGCGAACCTATGAAATACTGAGTAATGAATGACTTTCTTCTTGAGAAAGAAAGCTTCTTACATTTACTCAGATTTAGTTTCAGAAGATTCAAAGAGCACCATGCATCAAAATTATCCAAATCACCTTGAAGCTGATGTGATTGCGATTCAACAGAGAAGGAAGAAAACAGTTTCACATCATCAGCATACATTAAGATCTGGCTGGAATTAACCACCGATGGGAGATCGTTAATGCATAAACTAAATAAAATAGGACCTAAGTGACTTCCTTGAGGTACGCCAGATATACCGGGGAATTCATCCGAGGTGATGAAGTTAAACAAAACCCTGAAGGATATATTGTGCAGATAAGAGCTTATCCATTTCACTAAGTAGGGTGAGAAACCAGAGGCTTGGAGTTTAAAGATAAGTAGTCTATGGTTAACCATATCAAATGCTTTGCTTAAATCAGTGTAAATAACATCTGTGCGAGAGCCACTAGAAAAAGCCTTGAAAACATGACAGGTAAACTCCAACAAGTTGGTGACTGTAAATCGCCCTTTCCGAAAGCCGTGCTGGTGCGGAGAAATATACGAATTAATGGCAAAGGCCAAATGCTGAGTCACAATACTCTCGAACAACTTGGGCAAGACACTCAACTTGGCTATGCCTCTGTAGTTCTCAACAAATTGTCTACTTCCACTCTTGTGGATAGGAATAAGGAAACTACTCTTCCAACATGAAGGGAAAACACCTAAATACAAGGACATGTTAAAAATCTTTGAGATCACACCACATAACTCGACAGCGCAAGATTTAAGTACACATAATGGAATTCCATCAGGTCCAGGCGCACAACTGTATTTTAGAGAACTCAATCCTTTAGAAACGTCATCTTCCGAAATAACCAAGTTAGGGATTGAAACCGAGTTAGTTATAGGATATGGGCAGTTTGCTGATAAATCGAAGTTAGCAATCGAAAAGTTTCGTCGGAAATACTCAGCAAATAGATTTGAGATTTCAAAATCATCCGAGGAATCAGAGCCATTAAAAGAAACATGAGAGGGATATGTGGAAATTTTTCTTTTAGAGTTAACAAATTTAAAGAAGAATTTAGGATTAGCAAACAGAGAGGATTTAATGAACTGAAGGTATCTGCAGTAATAATGGTGGTTGAGGGAGTTAAATCTATGCCTCGCCACCGGGTAAGCGAAATAGTCGAGTGCAAATAACTGTAAAACTAAGCTTTGTTAAACAATTCAAAACTTTTGTGATGATCTTTGCGTTTAGTATTTCTTATTAACTGTTTTTCTCTATATCTAATAGCAGTGAATAAGTTATATTTAGGACGAATCGGGTCCTTTAACTGCCTTTTGGCTTCTTTCTGTTTCTAACAAAACTTTCTTTTCAAAGTCTTTCTTTGCGAAATTTATCTTTGAATATAAAACAAGCGGCAGCACTCGCTCGTCTTCCACAAATTTTCAAGTTATCTGTAAGAGAAAATCAATCAAATGTTCTATAAAAGAGGTTGTAATTCGCCTACAGCTGTTATGCTAACGATACTACAAGTATATTTTGCAGCTACATTAGTTAAAAGTGCTACTATTCACATGAAATGGGAAATCGCCAAAGAATAACAATTCAGTATTAGTTTATTTTATTTTAACTTATTTTATTTTATTTTTTTTTAGAGTTATGAAACATTAAACTGTCATGATAAATAATAATGGTAGATATTGTAACGTTTGCAATGTTTAAGTCGTCGGCTGTACATGTGTGATAGCTTTTTTATACTCACTACCAACGGATGGGGGTATGGTAAATTTTTCATTTCCTTTGTAAGATCAACGGATACGTGTTTATACTGAAGACGGATGTAGGTATTCTTAGTTCATCACGGTCACAGATCAACCCGTGATTTGTACATAATCACTCGCGATCGATAGAAGACTGAAATGTTTAATCCGTAGAAGATATCGATTCAATAATAAAATTGCAACGAATCTTTGTCAAAAATTATTTTCAAAACCTATATGTTTAGTCAACCTAAAAAAATATTTCGCAGGTCATTTAAAAGGTGAACGCAAACGTAGTCCACATAACTTGCTTACTCGTTTAAAGTAAACCAATAATAATTACAGTGTGTTTTAGCAACGAATAAATTGCGATGAAAAACTGTTCTTATGCTTGGTTTTGAATTTTGTTAAAGGTTTTTTTTCTCATCTTTTTGTTCATGGTTTTCTCGTTTCAGAAGCAGTAGACAGTTGCAACCAAGGTAATAACAACATTAACAACATAGAAAATGAAGACAAATTGAATGCATCAGTAGCAGACGATATCAGCAGTGAAAAGGAAGTGGAAGCGCACGCTTCGAATGACGATGAATCAGCATCGATTTCGTCAAATGGCGTTACAACGTTGATGTCTTCAACGAAACAATCGTGTGCTTTTACAATAGACAATTTTAATGATAAAGAATGTGATACTGCTGCTCAGGCCGCCAAATATAAAAGCATGATGGAACGTTTTCAAAATCGTCATCGTCGCGGTGCTTCATTGTCTAAATTGGATAAAGATGATGCATCAACGAGATCGCAACAAACTCCCACACGTTTAAGCAGCTCCCAGTCGTCTATGCCATTTACAGCGCGCTCATCGGCACGTAATTCACTGGTGATTGAAGAAAACAATGCTAACTCATTAGAATCAGAGACAAAGTCAGTAACCCAAAAGGTACATTTTTATTCTGCATATTTTATATGTTTTATATAACATTTTTGAAAAACCAAGCAGTTAATTTTGTATAAAAAAATTCTGTGAATTAGTTGGCTGACAAAATGTTAAGCGTAGTTAACACTAAAACCATGTTTCCAGCTTTCTTTTCAAGTAAGATGACCTTTTGGACAAAATTACTATTTACATTCTGAGAGACGCAAAAGTACTTCAAACTGTAATAATCTTTCGTTGTTATTTAACGCTACACTGAATTTATATTAGTGAACCTAAATAGCCATTTACTAAGTGTGTGCCTTTTTAGTTTCTCAACCAGTTTTTTTGCACAATTTGTTTAAATAGCGTTTATCGTTTTTTGCTGGGTGTTGTTTAGAAACTAACATGATAAGCTATTTGCTAATGCGATACACCCATTCTTCATGGTTCAACAATTTAAATTGCAGGTTGAATAAGATCAATGCAAAGTTGACAAGTTGACTTCTCCATATGGAATTTTTGGAGAAGCACACCTCAGTCTTTGAGTAGTTTCATGTTTTATGCGCTGAACAATTATTATTTAATAATTTTTTTTATTTCATTCAATTGTCGAACAAGTTCGGCAATTTAAAGTTCTTGATGAAATGTTTGATGAAAAGTTTAACGAAATTGTTTACTATAGTCGTGAAAGAGGTAACATTTACAAAATTTCTGATTCCGTTGTAATCCTTCTTTTTTTATTTTTAGGTTAAATTGCGAGTTCGTGATCGTAGCACCTCCCGTGTACGTGATGCTTCAAAGCGACACAGTTGGTCACCACGTTCAAGTACTCACGAAAGTAATTTGCCACAATTGCAACAAACGACACAGGTTTCGGGTAAATCAAATTCTCGTAAAATCTCAAAAACAAATAAGCAAACTCCTGGAGTAGTGCCTAAGGGTGCTGCAAATTTAGTGGCGAATCGGACACTTTTTGCACCACGTTCAACCGCTATGCAGTTGGCGTTGCGACATGTGGATTTCATGTGTCCGCAACCACCATTGACTGATTTCAAACATCTCAACGCCGACGCAGATGATGTAAGCGAAGCTGGTACGTATACATTAGATGGGGATAACTACACCGAAGAGCAAAAAGACCTTATGAACATTGACAAAAATGCTAAGTCAAGCGAGGGAAGTGTTCAAAACAGTATATCATCATCCAAATTATTGCAATCAAATGCTAAATCAAAGCGTTCGACTAATGTTTTGGAGGTGAATTATTATCATGATTCGGAGGCGATCGATGAACGTGCTAAGCTGCGATATAATACAGCGAATGATGTTATCATAGGAAACCATCAAAAGGCTGGTGCTTACCTGCAAAAGATTAAGTCACGAGTCCTACGTAACATAAATGCTACAAAAAGCATGGAAAGTAAAGGGGATGCGAAAATGAAGAAGAAGCTTTCTCCAACTTCAGATACGGAGGAAGATACGGATGTAGGCTGTTTTACAAGTGTTACTACGAGTGGTGTTTTAGCTAAGCAGAGAACATTGGATGCTCGTCCCAAAGTATCTCGAAACTGTGGACTGTCAACATCTCAAATTGATAGTTCCGAATACATCAGTAATGAAACCAAATCAAAAAGTTCTGGTACAAGTTCTTTGGCGGGTGGGTTTACTGATCATCAAAAAGCCGAGTACAGATTAAATGTTTTCACTAATCAAAAAGAAATATCGCAAAAAAAATTTGCTGCTACCAGGAATCTAATAAAAACCCCTCCACAGACTCCCGTTGATGCAATTCCCTTATCGAAGCTTTCGGAGGCAGCTGTTTTACAAACAGCTCAAACGAAGCATGATTGGATACAAGAATGGGCTCGCAATGCTCGAGCAAGAAGCTTGGCCAACGACAGACTCTGTGGAACTTCTAAGCAAATATCTCAAGACATTCTTATGACGCGTTCATATACTTGTGCTGACACTGCAAATGATTCCCTAACCGATGAGAGCGTTTATAGTACTCACGGGAGACAATACATGAATCCGACAAAATTGAATCGATGTTTAGCAGAACGTTTCCGTTTGCCAGCAGGTTCAGGAATAGAGTGTGATTATGCTAGCGATCCGTCGCTACCTACTTCATATGCGAAACCACCAAAGAGCCCCACCAAAATTCCGTCGCCACTTCATTCCCTGGGTAGAACTCGCAGTGTTAGCCGCACTAGAGTGTCTTTACAAAATATGGCATCACAAGAAGACGACTATCTGCAACAGACCGCAGCAGCAATAAACACATTGCAAGAAACGATATCACGTAAAAACTCCCTTAAATCTCCAACATCTTCGGCTTCTCCAAGAGCTCATTCAGCACGTTCACATATCATATATTCACCAGAAGAAAGGGGTACTGAACGTAGTCCTCAGCATAGTTTGCCATCACAACGACAACGGCAGATCTCTACGGCATCTTTAATGACGAGTAGTATTAATGAACAACAACTTCAAATGTTGACAAGTGGTGAATATCTACTGCGACAAATGTGCACGCGTAAAAATTCACTCGATGCGAACGTAGACGGTGCGGATGATGGATCGCCGCGTTTGCGTGCTCAGCAAAAAATTGCGGCTCAGTTACAATCACCAACAACTCCTACTGCAAATGAAGGGCAATGTTTCTCGTCTTTGAGAAGATCCAGTTCGTTTACGGCACGGGTGGTCGCTTCTCAGAAAACTGGCCGCCCAAATTTTCAAAATCTGTACACACCACCAGCAGCACGTCATGGCTATGGTATGAGTACAGGGCATACTTCCCAAGGCCCAAGACCTACCAGTGGGCATCTGATTAAAAAGTCCGCCAGCAGTAATAACTTTGGGCAAGCTTATAGCGATTACGACGATAATATACAGTATTATATAAACGATGAAGATGATATGGAAGATTTAGGTGAAGAATATTTTTCAAGTGGAGGCGAAGAAAATATAGAATCGGTATACTGCGAACGGTCTACTACGGAAGAAAATGTGCCCGAAAACAATGTACCTCTTACCAATACTAGATACAATAAAGCTTTACTCATGCGTATTGAACGCAGTAAGCAGAAAGTTGGTGGAAAACCACAATCTGTACCCGTCGGAAAGTCTGCAACATTAATAGGCGGTGGAGTAGTAGCATGCCCGAATACTCCTGAATTGCCGAGGCGTACTGTTAAAAGTGCCACCGCACGTTCAAGTACAGCGCGCCAAAGTGTGCCGCGTGATATCAGCCTTAACCGCCTTGCGCAGCAGGTTCCCAATTCTTTGGCATCAGCCAAAAAACAATTGCTACAAACCGCCGCTAACGTAACTTTAGCCACACCAACTACTTCCCGTTCCAGTTCTAGTCAACGTACTCAGCCTCGTTATTTGGATATTTCCAAATATAAACCTGCCCAAAGTAATCAATTTTTACGAAAAAACGACGCCAAAAGTACTCTAAAGCAACCGTCTAGCGAAGTTATGAAACGCAGTCCTAGCAGCTCATCCATGGGTCTTGCACGCACTGATCCGTCACGATCTAGTAATCGTTCTGTACGTTCTGTAACCTCAGTTATGACAATGAACGCCACAACAATGAGTGTAGGTAGAGCTTCTTCTGCGGTTAGACGAGATATTTCTGGTAACTAATGCATGGTATTTACACGGCTTCTAAAGACCAATATTGATGAATTCGTTTCATTTCATGTTAAGCATCAAAACAAAAAGAAGTTGAGATGGCTATGTGGAAGCGTCGTTCTAAATACGATCCTATGAAAGCAGCAGCCGAAGATAGACGAAAACGGGAAGAGGCGAAACGTTTGGCCGCCCAAACTCAGCAACTAGGTGCCATTGCTATGCCCATTGAGAGGTAGGTTTTGAATTTTTTTTCTTACTGGCTAGTAGTTCAAGTAACGATAGATTTGCTCTCCTTTTCTTTAAAGTATTGAAAGTTGAAAGTGCCTTTATTTAAGGTTTATATTAGACGAGTACTAACATAAGTTAAAAAATAGCTTGTTATATGAAAAAAAATGATGTGTACAAGAGTTGACGTAAGCAGTGCTGTAAAGCAAAACTCTTAAGCAAAGCTAATAGGTAACTGAGTTTAATATAGAAATCCCATAGTAATAGGAAGAGAGCACTTTCTTTTTTATGTAATGTTCAAGTCAAAAACTATGACATATAGCCAGAGAACTTTGTCCTGATCAAGGATCTCAAGTTTTCGGTGAGTACATATGAACATTAGAAACGGAACGTATCTTTGGTGATGAGTACAAAAATTTACCAAGATCAGATCGAATTGCAGCATAGTAATGTAAACATTACACCTGCCACAACGACGTTAATCATGTTCTTAGAACCTCCACTTGGATCAAATGAAGGTCAAGCAGATAGCGGTTTTTTAAAAAAATTTTTTTTTATATAAAAATATATACATGCATTCCTTAAATTTGTAGTTTAGTTTGATAAATATCAAAACTGACGCAATCAGTAGCTATCATCTTCTTACTAATTATTATTTACTAGATCGGAATGAAAGCCAAATAGATAAACTTTTTTTTGTTTGTTTTTGAACATTTATTTATTTTTTGTTTTAATGTTATTTACTCTCTTTATGTATCAATCATATTTCTTATATTAGTACTCTACACTACACAATAATAAAAAACTACAAATTTATATTAAAAATATACATATTTTATTTTTATTATATAGACCATCACGATCTCCTTATCGTCGTAGCCAATTATGACCAGAGGGTCTACTTATAACTGATCTTTAAGTCAATTTTTTAGAGCAACAAACGAAAATAGATAGACACTTACATATAGGACGTGAAAACGCTTATTAAACGGCGATTGCAACACTAAATCTAAAATATATTAAAAATTTAGTGTTTTATACATTATCTGAGCTCTTCTAACACTTCATCTCACAACGGGGAGTTACACGAGTAATCACTGTGTGCTTGAAATTAACTTCGTTAGACTTCCGGTTGGTTGGTTGGTTGATTATCCTCGATATATTTATAAAAAAAAAAAAGTAATTATAAAACAATTTTGATGCATTTTGTTGGAATGTGTTTTCATCTATAGTCGCTGTTCTATTATTCAATTACTAACTATTTAGACTCGATTAATGTACAATTAATTATAATTCATATTAAATACTTCTGTGCTTTGCAGTTAACAAAAGCGTGCCTTTTATCTGTTCAACTAAATGGGTTGGTTATAATCCATTAATGCTAGTTCTGCTCCTCCTCACATAATTACCATTTTAATATATTCAATCTTAATTCAGATATCTGCTATGTTAGCTTAACGTTTTTATGACAACTCTGTGCTGAGTTGTTCCTTCTCTCTCTCTCGCTGTCTCTACTTATCACTTTCTCACATTTCGTTATATATATCGAATTACATCAGATGCAATTAAAAGTGATCCTTTTGACAAGATATTTGTAAGTCTGTATGAGTGAACTTTGTTTTTTTAAGTTTTCCTTGTTTCTTTTTCTTGTTATATGAGTGTAGCCATGGTAAGGACAAATATTATTCAATATAAATCATCTAGATATATGCTGAATTTCGATCTTAAATCTAAATTAGCTTTTTCATCTTATTACATATTAAGATATTTTTAGAAATTCAGTGATATACTTGAAATTTCCTACCCTTTACTTTCAATAATTCATCAAAATAGTTCAGGTCCCTTCGTTGTTACATCCGTTATATTACGGATACAATGTGTGTTCATTTCCTCCGACCGATAGAATCTGACATTGCATTTATCCGATTTATGGAGTATTATTGGTGTCTAATAACGATTGCAATCTATTTTCATGATCACCGTGCAATAAAATTGAATTCAATGAACTGCCTTTGAGGACTTGCATTTAGCATTCCAACTTCCTCAAGCTAAGTAGAAAGGTTATTTATAATTATATAAATCTGATTGTGGGTAAAATAAAATCGATCGGGCTAATAATACAATCTCCTAATAGATATAAAAAATCCTTTGGCAGTATGTACGTTTGAAGCGCCAAAAACGGTCTGGTCTATACGTTTCGAAGAGGTTAAAAAGTTTCAGAAAATATGATAGCATAGTAAGATAACTGATATTGTCTCAATGGCAGAGAAAACGAAAAAGAATATAATCCGGTTGAAAATATACTTTCTTGCAATAATCGATATGACGGGAATTATCCATAAGTGAATGCTGCTTTTGCACTTGCTTGCTCTCTCGCATCATTCATTCGTTTCCCCGCATGCTTGTGCAAAATAATGGAAAATATGTTTATATTAAATATTTATTTAAAGACGAATATAGCGGCTATTCTGAATTACTTATTGAAATGATATGATGAATGGTCTAAAAATTTGAATGCATATTACTTTTTTAAATGTATTCAACTTTAATATTAAATCTTTTCATTCATTTTTCTACAATCTAACAATACTTTTTGTCGATAAACTTCACTTTAATTGTTGATCGAATTGTATTGCGTGCGTTATTGTTATTAACGTGTAGTGATTTTAAGAAAGCGTTCAATATTAAATTTTAAAATTTTTAAAATTAAAATATTTAAAAATTTTTTTTTTTTATATCCAGGCATTGAACATATAATGGGAATGAATTGTCCACAAATTGGAAAAGAAATAAAATAGTTTAATCGTTACATTAACTAAAAAATAAATTACATAAAAATTTTTTTTAATAATGAATTAGAAAGGATGAAAAATTGCTCCCCCGTCCATTTTTAGTTAACTGTACATCAAAGCTTGAAACGGTGCAGATATTAAATTGTAAAAAATGAAATAAATAATAAACACCTTAAGCTTTTATGTATAGTTGTGCAAAAGAGACTTCTAGGAAAAAATTTATTTTTCATCTTTTAGTACATTAATATAAAAGCTTACTTAAAAAATTTCTTCCATATAATTTATTTGTTACTGTTTAGTCCACTAGAATTTGTATTCTACTCTGCAAATCTTTTCATATGATAAGCACATCGAGGGGATTGTTAAAAAAAAGTTAGTCAACAACGCCTTTTAATACGTGACCTAATATAGAATTATCGCATTTAGCTTGGCTCATTCTACACAGTTCTTTCATTTGATGCCCAATAATGCGTTGTAATTTAATGCAATGCACTGCCATTGAAACGAAATGTGTATGCAAAATTTCATAATGATCGGATCTACGCAAGTGACCGAAATATCGACTGAGAGTTTTCTTGCTAGTACGACGGAATTGTCCATCAGATAGTTCAGCCAATTGTTATCGTTGCTACGGTTTTTTCGTTTTTTTTTTTTATAGAATTGTTGTAAATTGTAAAAAAGTGCGGTGTGCCGAATGCGAAATTTTCTCCTATCCTTGGAAGATATATCCAGCAGCATAGGTGACAGGCGAACCCATATATTCATGGATCCTTCTGCGGCATTTTTGTTTTTTGGTAGCTCATATTGTTCTAATGGACTACTCTCTCCATTGCGGGAGGAGTTAATAAAATGTTAATAATTTAACCAAAAACTGTTTTTTTCAGTTGTTGCTGATTGTCTTTTAACAAAAGAAATATATAGTATTTGCGTAGAAGAATTGATTTAAAACTTTTGTAACGAAAGTTATATTAATTCGTTTGTGCTTTCTACAAGTCGGCAAAGAGTCATATTCGCGGCGAAAATTATTCTCCAAAAAAATCACTTCTTACTTAGACTACCAACTGAATGTTCGTGGGTTCATGTTTAAAGTGCGGTAGAGTTTACTTTGGTCATATCTATAGCGAGCGGTCAGTCACTATCTTTCTGTCTTCTTCTTTTTCGTCATATCCTTCTGTTCATCACGGCGTTACACGAATAGGGCATACTCCCTAAGTGGTTGGTCATAATGAAAAAAAAAAAACTTAATGCTAAGCCTGCCAAAAACACATTACTTAATAAAAAAACTTTGCGAATATCTGGGAAATTTTGATCTTTAGTCGTCACAAATTTTAAACGCTTTATTTTCTGCATCCCTATTTGTATGAAGGATATTGAGAATTGTAATAAATTTGTTTATCGTTTGTAAAACGTAGACATACTTCATTACGTATGTATATGCAGTGAGTCTCATTAATATTGGTTTTTTTTGCTCGACAAAAAGTAAACGCTTATGGAACCTAGTCCGTTGTCCAAACATAAAAATATATTTTATTATTTTATTCTACTATATATAATTTATGTCAGAAGTCAATCTGATTAACGCCATACTATAATGTATTTATATCATAATAAATCATCCTCTCCTATGGAGATATCTGTAAGTTGTTCGTTTCATTTCATTATTCGCGTTAGACAAAAGCTGTTATCGCTCACACGAACTAAGTACGAGAAACATAAAATATAAATTAGTTGTATTTGAACTGCCACAAGAGATGATACCTATAAATTTCAATTTTGTTGGGAATTTTTTTTTCTTTTAAAAAACCGTTATAACATTAAGATGAAAGATGTTAATAAGA